AGTTTTCTACGTCCAAAAACATCAAAAATTGGACATTGGTCAGTAAGATTGATCTTCCTGAGAATTGAAGAGTATAAAGAAATGTGTATAGATGGACAATGGTCAGTAATGTTGATCATCCTGAGAATTGGCGAGTGTTCAAAGTAATTGGTAAAGCCAAAAGGGATACTGTGCTACGGGTGAAGTTTCCACCATTCAAATGAAGTCTAGATTAAACAATCAGCAAACAGCTACTGACTGAACTTTCATGCTCAACTGTGTAATTGTTTTCATGTTAATGCCCCCCCCCCAAAAAAAAAGATTGAAGTAACCCAGTTTTGTACAGTGTTTTAATTATGGAGATTTGTTTCCTAATTAGTTATTTAAATGTTTAATAATAAAGAGTCATTTCTTAAGAAGAATACATAAATTATTTGTGTATTACATCACTGAAATGTAAGATGTACGTAATGGTTTTGATTGTTCATGTAGTGAGTTACGAGCACCTCAGTACTAGATTAAAACGGTGAAAAAAAAGAGTACAGAGCTACTTTTAGAGAAAAGTGTCTGTTATATCGTAGCACTGTCAGTAAAATATTGTAGTTTTCTATGTGTTGTTGGTTTCATTGATTGTTCAATAACAGAAGTTAAACCGTTGTTTCTTTTCATAGGACTTTCTGAGACCAGAACAAGAAGACCTATTTGATGAAATATTAAACAAATAAACAAGGATTGTTGTATAGTTTTTGGGTTGCTTGTTTTCATTTAATAAATTATGAGCTAAAAGTAACAGAAACTTGTAATTATGAAATCTTTAAAATTTATTTTTATTAATTTAGATTTTTTTTCACGTTGTATTAAATGACCAAAACGTCCACGATGCTGTTAACTCTTCCAGTGAAAGTTGAAAAGGGGTTTCGTACTTTCTTGCAGTCCGTGCAAGCTTAACGTCTTGTACCACGAGACAGCCTGTTACATTTTGTCCAACCCGATAGTGAACTGGTAAACAACCTTCTAGAATTATTGTTATAATTATTACCAAACTTATTCGTACTACTGTGATTAAACATAACATCTTTCTTGTCATACAGAGGTTACTAGTATGTAGTGTTGAATGAGAAGTTTGGACAGTACAAAACGTGTCATCACAGCTTTATTGAACGAGTTTACATCATCATCAACAAACATGCATTAACACACAGAAATCACAGTCTTATGTTGACCGTACTGGATCGGCCTCTCTTACTGTTTCATTACTAGTTAGTTTACACAAAGGCTACTTATACAAATAACGAACGTGCCCTAAAGAGTACTCTGGATAATACTCATCATGAAGATAGCAGTTCGAATATTAGTTTCATGTGTATAGTTTAATTACATGTTACATGATGGGATTGGACTAGTGACGTGTTCATAACTGAAATGCATGTCACTGCCTCTATTTACATTACATCAGAAACCAATGTATAGCTAATGTTGTTTGTGAATGATATGTTTAAAAAGTACCATTTCTCAATCAAGAGGAAATTATAAAGAACATTTCTCAATTGTAACAATGGAGTCACCAGTGGGCTGACCTTTTATAATCTGTTACCATATTGCTCCAGACATCTATAACATAAAGACCAAACCTGAACACTACACTAGACCAGGCTTAACTACAGAGACTAAATAAAACTAAACGTTATACTGGAACAGGCTTAACTACAGAGACTAAATAAAACTAAACGTTATACTGGAACAGGCTTAACTATAGAGACTAAATAAAACTAAACGTTATACTGGAACAGGCTTAACTATAGAAACTAAATAAAACTAAACGTTATACTGGAACAGGCTTAACTATAGAAACTAAATAAAACTAAACGTTATACTGGAACAGGCTTAACTATAGAAACTAAATAAAACTAAACGTTATACTGGAACAGGCTTAACTGTAGAGACTAAATAAAGCTAAATGCTATACCAGAAGAGGCTTAACTGTAAAATGTAGGGTTAAAACGTTTTCTAGGAGTAGCAGTTTTATATAATGTAAGCAGTATCCTGCTTGATTTTTTTTCTATCAATTTCACTACACATTCTAATTCCTGGGATCTAATTTTTTCACTTAACCTTTTGGTAATCGTATATTTAAGTAATTCAAAAAAATGATAGCTCAAAGAAATTGATAAAACTTCGTTATTGGAATAAAGGATTTACATGTTTCAATAAACCAGATTTCTTCCTGGACTTTACAGATTGACATGTTTCAATAAACCAGATTAACTTGAACTGTTTCTTCCTGGACTTGACATGTTTCAATAAACCAGATTAACTTGAACTGTTTCTTCCTGGACTTTACAGCCTGACATGTACAGAAGCGAATTAGTAAAGAATAAGAACATTGCGTTGCACTTAAAATTCAAAATTATTAAACAATAAAACATTACAATAAAGCAAACAATAAAATAATCTCGCGAATTGAAAGTAGTCGAACAATACAACAGTGTTCAATACTAGAGACGAGAGTCGTCGTTGAGGTGACGGTCGCTTGTCATTTGAAGAGCTGTTTTTAAGAGTTCGCAAATCTCTGGGCGACACCGACTGATATACCTAGCTTGTGCAACATCCAAGGCCGTTTTCTTATTGGTTGTTTCTGCTGTGACGTCACAGTTGGCATCTAGTAGCATGTGAACGACGGTGGTAAATCCACTTTCTACTGCATTATGAAGCGGAGTGTTACCTTTAATATTCTGAGCATTGATGTCGACACCGGTAGAGGATAACAGAGCCTGGACAGCATTGGTGTTTCCTTTGCTGGACGCTAGATGGAGCGCACTGTCACCGTTAATATCTGGGGAATTCACGTTACAGCCATGTTGTAGAAGAGATTTCACTAAATCAGAAAGGTTTTTATAAGCTGCGTAATGGAGCGCAGTCTGTCCATTTCGATCTGATAAGTTTGTGTCGGTTCCAGAGTCGATCAGAACACTGGCCATCTCGGTGCTACCAGTGTCCACCGCACACATCAGAGGGGTAAGCCCGAGGTCATTCTGGACGTCGAGGTCAGCACCTGCGTTCACTAATATTTCCAAAGGTCGGCGATGGTGACCTTTACCACAAGCTGCTCGATGAAGAGCCGTCTCTCCTCTGTGGTCCTTGATGGTGAGGTCACTTTTGGCCACCAACAACTGAATGATTTCTTCCATTTCAGGGGTAAACTTCCCATTACAAACGCAGTTTTTCAAAAACAGATGAAGCGGGGAGTAACCGTTCATCTTCTCCTGGCGGTTGGAATCCAGAAATTCGACTTCCAACAGAGCTTTCGCCAAAGGAATATTGACGTTTTTAGACTTCGCTACCACATGAAGAGCCGTTTCACCTACTGCGTTCCCAGCATTGATGTCACATCCGGCCTTGCACAGCACTTGTACGATGTTTAAATGGCCGAGTCGGCTCGCTTCAATTATAGCTAGCCGACCATTGTGATCCCAGTCTGGGTCGTCGGGGTTCACTAGGCCCTCATCCAACAACTGTCGGACTCTGTCCTCATTCCCAGCGGCTACAGCTTCGTGAAGTTCCCGTATAGTCTCCTCCATTCCGTACTTATTCCTGACAACAAATCCCTTAACTGTTACACTACACGCTGAATATATAAAGAATGGTTGTGTAATATAAGTGACGTACCAACATCAAACACGAGACAGCTGTGTACGTAAACGCTTAGCCACCCTCCTCGCGGCGTGTTCCATTCGCAAATCAGGAAGTAACACCGTCATGCCCCGCCTCTTCCAGACTCAGCCTTGAGCTAGGGGGTGTAAGAGCGATACTTTTTTTTTCTTTTAAGTTAGTAGTCATGCAAGGTCGAAAAAAGGGGGGGGGGAGACATCATCTAAGTTTACTACACATGGGATAAGGGTCAATTAACTCCGAAACTTGTTCTAGACGAGCTTTGAAGTTTCTGGCTGTGTTGTCGGAAATGATGTTTCAAAAACACATATACTCAAGAGAAGGAAGGACAACATGAACAGTAACTGTTAGTTTGGATATACAACAAATCATTAAGATGTGGTTACCTAACGTCTTTCAATTTTACTAAGTGATAAATGGAAATTTAAAAATCGCTAACAGACGAAATCAAAAGATAGAGAGATAAGTGTATTAATTAAAGAAAGTATTAAATTCGTTTGGGGAAGTCTACAACCGCAAAGTAACAACCATGGGAGAGAGAGAATGATAGTAACGTCACAACCATAGAATATAGAGAATGATAGTAACATCACAACCATAGAATACAGAGAATGATAGTAACGTCACAACCATAGAATAGAGAGAACGATAGTAACGTCACAACCATAGAATACAGAGAATGATAGTAACGTCACAACCATAGAACAGTTTTAATATATACTTTGCCTTACTAAACAGTTTTAATATATACTTTGACTTACTAAACAGTTTTAATATATACTTTGACTTACTAAACACTTTTAATATATACTTTGCCTTACTAAACAGTTTTAATATATACTTTGACTTACTAAACACTTTTAATATATACATTGCCTTACTAAACAGTTTTAATATATACTTTGACTTACTAAACAGTTTTAATATATACTTTGACTTACTAAACAGTTTTAATATATACTTTGACTTACCAAACAGTTTTAATACATACTTTGACTTACTAAACAGTTTTAATATATACTTTGAATTATTAAACAGAGCTTTTAATAGTTATTTCGACTTACTAAACAGAGCTTTTAATAGTTATTTTGACTTACTAAACAGAGCTTTTAATATATACTTTGACTTACTAAACAGTTTTAATATATACTTTGCCTTACTAAACAGTTTTCATATATACTTATAATATATACCAAAACTGTCCAAGTGACTGTAGTTCCGATGATAACCAATATCTAGATTTACAAGAGAAATAAAACTGTCCAAGTGACTATTGTTCAGGTGGTAACCAATCTCTAGATTTACAAGAAAAACAAAACTGTCCAAGTGACTATTGTTCATGTGGTAACCAGTCTCTAGATTTACAAGAAAAACAAAATTGTCCAAGTGACTATTCTCTAGATTTACAAGAAAAACATTGGTTACCATCGGAAC